CTCCCCTGTCTCTCTGCCTGGTGAAGAATCTCTCCCCACTGGTGCGCTTGCACTGCAGGCTGAGCTCTGTAGACCCATGGCTGCGGCGAGCCGGCTCTGACCGGACGGTCAGGGAGTGGCCAGGCAGGTGGACCGGAGCTGGCAGGGTCACCCTGAGCCTGCCACGCAGGCCAGACCAGGCGGTACAGCCCTGGCGCCCAGTTAACAGCAGCCTGGCGGTTCCGAACACACACAGGAAGAGGCGGGCGGCGCTGGACGCAATGAGCCCGGTGTCCGGGGACGCCCGGGGACAACTCCCGTGTCCCGTGGGGACTGCAGCCCGCAGTGGCCTGGCTCGTGGTACCGAACCGTCTCGAGAGAGAGGGTCGTGCCTCTCCCCGAAGGGGCAACTTGTTGTACAGCGGCAGGACACGAACAAACAAGACGCGTATCTGTGCGTAAATCCCAGGGCGTTTCTCGAAAAGAGTAGGGGTGTAACCCCAGTGTCCTGGCCAAATTCCCATTGGTTCTTACCCATCATGGCCTCCTAATACCCCCCCTCTCTGAACTGGCTTCATCACTCTGCTCTCCTCCCCACTGAGAGCTGGTGTGTGGGGAGAGGATCCAGGTGGGGCTGCACACTGGTGGTGGTGGAGGGGATCCCCATTACCTGTACAGCGCTTTGAGTGGAGTGTCCAGAAAAGCGCTATATAAGTGTGAGGAGTTATTATTATTATTATTATAAAAGAGTCAACTGTTGGTCAAGGTTATGGCTGCAGGTAGAAATGAGATATTTGAACCTGTTTGTTTTTAAACTGGGAAAGCTGTACTGTATCTGCGCTCTGAGGGGAGTAATTGGAATTTTGGGTGAAGGTCCTCTAGGATGGAATGTGCTTTAGGCAAGACTTCCGAGTGATACACCTGGGATCGGGCTGAAAGATCAGCGCCAGTGATCTGTCAGACAAGACTCCCCCAGTTTGTTCTTAGTCCTCAGATTCAGATCCAAAACCGGCAGATCAGGGCAAAAGATGAAGAAGATTTGCTAAAAGACTAATAAAACATGATCAACTGCAATTTATCAACCTTAAAATGCTTAAACGTTCTTAAGAAAAATTTATGCTTTTTTGAAAATCGAGCCTTTTTTGAGTCGAGATTTGCATTAAAATTTAACTTGCAGTCCAGAACAGACCCTAAACACTTATATTCCTCAGCCATTTCAACAGATTCTCTCCTGAAACAGGTTTAAGGGGGGGGCTGTCCTCACATCTGCTGTCTGCAGGCAGAGACTCTGTGTTTAACACTCATATAGATTACAGGACAGCTCTGAGCGCCTGTAAGCACCATGTGCTGTTTGTATTAAATATCCCTTCCTTCCTCGTCTTGCCTGAAGTCCCACCTGCTGACTCTGACACTGGGCAGTTGAGTGTCTCGCTGCCCCAGGTGCTCTCTGTCCATGGCGCATTGCATGGTGGGACAGGATAGGGGCAGCCGTGCCGGTTGGCCTGAATTTCCAGGTCACGTCCGTTTCTCGTGTCGGCTCTGCGATGGCATTCTGGGTACTGTGTTCCTGTCCTCCACGTCTGGGCATTTTAACTTCCTTCTGCAGGAGGAGATTCTGAAACTGATCTCACATAGTTAGGTACAGAGCTAACAGGTGGAACAGGCAGACATTATGTTCCACTCCTTTATTTCTCAGAATACCGCACCTTCTGCTCTCCAAAGAGATGATTTTTTTCCTTCCACACGCATTTCATTATCGCCTCTACTTCTCAGTGTCAAACATGAAAATTGCCTCTCATTTTTCTCTCCATATCTCTCTACTGTGCATTTATGATCAGCTCCTTAATGAGCTGTGAGGGAGGAAGGCAAGGAAGTAGGTGTGGGTATATCTGTGTAACACTGTTGTGCGTTGTGTGTGTCTGCGCTGGACTGTGTGACCCTGTCATGGGGCAGGTGGGTATATATCGAGACAGGAAGTGTGGCAGGTGTGGGTATATATCGAGACAGGAAGTGGGGTAGATGGTGGTATATCGAGACAGGAAGTGGGGTAGATGTGGGTATATCTGAAACAGGCAGATGTGCCAGGTGCTGTAGTCTGTTGTATCTGGCATGTAGTGTATATGTGTACCTGCTGCTGTTGTGTGTGTGTGTGTGTGTGTGTGTGTGCGTGCGCGCGCCAGGTGCTGTTGTGTGAGTGTGTGAGTGTGTTTGTGTGTGTGAGTGTGTGTGTGTGTGTGTGTGTGAGAGTGTGTGTGTGTGTGTGCGCGCGCGCGCACGCGCGCGCCAGGTGTTGTTGTGTGCCTGGTGCTAATGTGTGTGTGTACCAGGTGCTGTTGTGTGTGTGTGTACCAGGTGCTGTTGTGTGTCTGTGTGTACCAGGTGCTGTTGTGTGTGTGTGTGCCTGGTGCTAATGTGTGTGTGTGCCAGGTGCTGTGGTGTGTGTGTGTGTGTGTGTGCCAGGTGCTGTGGTGTGTGTGTGTGTGCGTGCCAGGTGCTGTGTTGTACTGTATGTGCCTGGTGCTAAAGTGTGTGTGTACCAGGTGCTGTGGCGTGTGTGCCTGGTGCTAATGTGTGTGCCTGGTACTGTTGTGTGTGTGTGCCAGGTGCTGTGCTGTGTGTGTGCCGGGTGCTGTAGTGTGTGTGCCAGGTGCTGTTGTGTGTGTGTGTGTGCGTCAGGTGTTGTTATGTGTAGCTCTCTTCTCTTGGAGATGAAGGTTGTCTGACAGATGGTGCTCCAGTGAAATGGATTAATATCAGGATTCTCAGTTCAATCCGATCTGTGGCACAATGGTAAAAATAGCCTTCCTTAATCTGCAGTGCAGCATGTGTGTGTGATAGTGTGCTCTCAGGCTTTGTTTTTTATTTTTAAAAAAAGGACAAGAGCATCAGTTTTTCTTTCTTGAATAATATAAAAATCAGGAGCAGTCAGGTCTCCTGCACCTCCGTTCCAGGAGTATTATTGTATGTGTCTGTAACAGTGGTTGAAAAGCCAGCAGTAACAGACAGCCTGTCCTCAATAAGACACCGTTTGAGCAGGGAGCTGCGTCAGCATGCGTAGGCTGCAAAGGAACAGGTATAGACTGATTTAAAGGTAAAGGTGTCACACCTGAAGAAGGCTCCAAGGCCAAAACGCAGTGTTTATCTTCTCTTTGCCTTCACCTTTCAGAGCAGAATGAAATGAACCTTAACCTTTCCTCAATAAGGAAAGATCATTTACAGTGACAGGGCACCCCCACACCACACTGGGGTGCGCTGGGTGGTCCCCCAGAAAATGCACATAGGAAAGCTGTTTCACCCCAAGAACAGTGGGGTAGCCCTGACACTGTCAAGCCTGTGTGTGCCCCCCTGAGTCTGTGCCCTGACGAGGATTACAGCAGATCCACAGACGGCAGTTTGGATCGGTTCAGATTGCTTCCAACAGAATTCGCGTCACCATTTCATCGTAGACTTCGTTTGGGGTTTTGGGGGGTTGATTATTGGGAGGGGTAGTTTAGATAAAGAAACTAGCCTTGTGGGATGAAGACAGCCTTGGAAATATGATTAATAGGATTCTGCCCCCATAAACTCCCAGTTAAACTCCCTGCTAACCTATAGAAACCCACTTGAAAGCCAGAGCTGCCTCTGCCAGTCTGCTTTCTCTCCCCTCCCCCCTCCTCCACAGGAGCACATCTTTCAGGACTTTTTGTACAATGATCTCCAGTAAATAGACAGCAGGATGAAACATCACGACCCAGAGCCTGCACAGTTATGAGCTGGACGTCTGTTCCCTGTTCCCCTTGGGACAGCCCACAGAAAGAGGAACAGCAAGGACAGGAGACAGGAGAGCTGGAGATTCGATGTTAATTGTATTTGTATTTATTTTGGCAGCACAGATGTATTCATTGGTCGTGCCAATAAAGCATCCTGAATTGAATTGAATAGGAGATACAAATACATATGTGATGCATAAGAATAGTTTCAGAACAAATGCTGTGATAAAGTGCTCCCCATTGTGACTCCCGTTGCACAGCAGTCTGAGCCGTTCCAGGGTTTACTGCTGGCTGGCAGGCACCTGAGCTCTAGTAATAATAATTAATAATTGCTTACACTTATATAGCGCTTTTCTGGACACTCCACTCAAAGCGCTTTACAGGTAATGGGGACTCCCCTCCACCACCACCAATGTGCAGCATCCACCTGGATGATGCGACGGCAGCCATAGTGCGCCAGAACGCTCACCACACATCAGCTATCAGTGGGGAGGAGAGCAGAGTAATGTAGCCAATTCATAGAAGGGGATTATTAGGAGGCCATGATTGGTAAGGGCCAATTGGAAATTTGGCCAGGACACCGGGGTTACACCCCTACTCTTTTCGAGAAGCGCCCTGGGATTTTTAATGACCACAGAGAGTCAGGACCTCGGTTTTACGTCTCATCCGAAGGACGGCGCCTGTTTACAGTATAGTGTCCCCATCACTATACTGGGGCATTAGGACCCACATGGACCACAGGGTGAGTGCCCCCTGCTGGCCCCACTAACACCTCTTCCAGCAGCAACCTTAGTGAACAGCAGGGGCTGGGCAGTCAGTGACTCTGAACAGGCCGGCGTGCGTGGTGGACCCAAGACCAAGCACAGACACACAGACGTTTTCTCTGCTTGGTCAGGCAGGGGTCTGCAAGAGCATGCAGGGGGTCAAGCCTGCAGTGGGGGTCTGGTAGGCACCCCTGGCAGCCGTGTTCCTTTGCAGAGAGCTAGTCACGCTGTACAGAGCTGCTCTGTTCCATACGGGCTTGCTAAGACAGCTGGGTCAGATTTCTGCAGACAGCTTCACCTCCAGTGCAGTCTGTTTTGCTGTGTTGAGATTGGCGGCACTGCGGTAGCCAGAGACAGTTGCTCCTTCTTCCTTCCCCAGGGGGAGGGGTGCTGGAGCGCCCCCTGCAGCCCCCCTGAAGAAGTGCACTGCCACACACCAGCCCACAGCGCCCCTCGCTCGGGGCCAGAGCACCGTGCCTGTGAGTAAACCCCCTCTATTTGCCCCCAGGTGTTCGCCATCTTCGCGTTCGCCACGTGTGGCAGCTACTCGGGCGAGTTCAAGATGAGCGTGGAGTGCCAGGTGCGCAACGAGAGCGACCTGAGCATCGAGGTGGAGTTCGAGTATCCCTTCAGGTACACACCGCCCCCTGCTGGCAGGGCTGTGTCTCTGTGTGTCAGGCTGGGTGACTGTCGTTCTCTGTGTGTTTCTGTGCTGGAGAGTGTGACACTGTTGTTCTCTCTGTGTGTCTGTCTCTGTGTCACACTGTCATTCTCTCTGTGACACTGCTGTTCTGTGTGTATCTGTCTCTGTGTGACACTGTTGTTCTCTCTGTGACACTGTCAGTCTGTGTGTGTCTGTCTCTGTGTCACACTGTCATTCTGTGTGTGTCTTTCTCTGTGTGACACAGTCTTTCTCTGTGTGTGCTCTGGACAGTGTGACAATGTCATTCTGTGTGTGTCTGTCTCTGTGTGACACAGTCGTTCTCTGTGTGTGTCTGCTCTGGACAGTGTGACACTGTCATTCTGTGTGTGTCTGTCTCTGTGACACAGTCGTTCTCTGTGTGTGTCTGCTCTGGACAGTGTGACACTGTTGTTCCGTATTTCTGGAGATGATAACTCTCTCCTCTCCCTGTCCCTCTCTCACCCTGATCTATCCCTCCACCCCCATCTCTCTGCTGCCCCCCACTTCCCCCCAGGCTGCACCAGGTGTATTTCGACGCCCCCACCTGCAGTAAGGGTGGCACAGAGAGGCTGTTCCTGCTGGGCGATTACTCCTCCTCAGCACAGTTCTTCGTCACCATCGGAGTCTTCTCCTTCCTGTACTCGCTGGGGGCCCTCGTCGTCTACTTCTTCTTCCAGGAGCGCTACCGCGAGAACAACAAGGGGCCCATGATTGTGAGTCACTGCCTCCGCTTGTCTGAGTCCTGCTCTTCCTGTGTCTCTTTCTCTTTCTCCCAGTGTCTCCTAGTGTTTCTCTGCATCTCCCTGCGTGTCCCAGCATCTTCCTATGTCTCCTAGCATCTTCCTACGTCTCCCAGTGTCTCCCGGTTTCTCTCTGTAGCTATCTGCGTCTCCCAGCGTCTCCCAGCGTCTCCCAGCTTCTCCCAGCGTCTCCCTGCGTCTCCCTGCGTCTCTCAGGCTATGTCCCTCTCTCAGCCCTGTGCTGTGCTCCCCTCCCCACTCTCCTCTCCTACCCTCTCTCTCTCTCTCCTCCCCTGTGTGGTCAGTGTGACATGTCCACTCTGTGTCTCTCAGGCTATGTCCCTCTCTCTGCCCTGCGCTGTGTGGTCAGTGTGTTATGTCCATCCTGTCCACCCTCTCTCAGGCTACGTCCCTCTCTCGGCCCTACGCTGTGTGGTCAGTGTGTTGTGTCCATCCTGTCCACCCTCTCTCAGGCTATGTCCCTCTCTCGGCCCTGCGCTGTGTGGTCAGTGTGTCGTGTCCACCCTCTCTCTGGCCCGTGTCCCCCGCTGACGCGTGTCCCTGTGTTGCAGGACTTCGTGGTGACGTGCGTGTTCGCGTTCATGTGGCTGGTGAGCTCGGCCGCCTGGGCCAAGGGGCTGTCGGACGTGAAGACGGCCACGGACCCCGAGCGGGTCATCACCCTGATCAAGGCGTGCGAGGAGCCGGGGAACCGCTGCAAGGAGCTGCACGACCCCGTCACGTCCGGCCTCAACACCTCGGTGGTAAGACAGCGCCCTCCGGGGGCCGGGGCTCTGGGGTACACTGGCAGCGCGGAGACTGGCTGACGCCCCGTCTTCTGCCCCTCCTTCCTCTGTCCCTCCCCTTCTCCCCTGCCTTAATCCCCTCTGTTCCCCTCTCCCATCCCCCTGTGCTCTCTACCCCCCTCCCTCTCTCTTCTCTCTCCTCTCCCTCTCTCCTCTCTCCATCTCCTCTTCCTCTGTCCTCTCTCTCCCCTCTCTGCCCCTTCTCTTCTCTCCCCCCTCTCTCTCTCCCCTCTCTCTCTTATCTCCTCCCTCTCTCCCCTCTCTCTCCTCTCCCTCCCACCTCCCTCTCTCCTCTCTCGGTCTCCTCTCCCTCCCCCCTCCCTCTCTCTTCTCTCTCCTCTCCCTCTCTCCTCTCTCCATCTCCTCTTCCTCTGTCCTCTCTCTCCCCTCTCTGCCCCTTCTCTTCTCTCCTCCCTCTCTCCCCCCTCTCTCTCTCCCCCCTCTCTCCTCTCCCTCCCACCTCCCTCTCTCCTCTCTCGGTCTCCTCTCCCTCTCTCCTCTCTCCATCTCCTCTTCCTCTGTCCTCTCTCTCCCCTCTCTGCCCCTTCTCTTCTCTCCCCCCTCTCTCTCTCCCCCCTCTCTCCTCTCCCTCCCACCTCCCTCTCTCCCCTCTCTCTCCTCCCCCTCCCTCCTCTCTCTCTCCTCTCCCCCCCTCCCTCTCTCCTCTCAGGTCTTCGGCTTCCTGAACCTCATCCTGTGGGCAGGGAACCTGTGGTTTGTGTTCAAGGAGACAGGCTGGAGCGCCCCCTTCATGCGCTACCCCCCACCCTCACAGGAGAAGCAGCCCGCCCCCGAGTCCTTCAGCCAGCCAGGGGGCGGCTACGGCCCGGAGGGGGGCTACGGCCAGGCCGACCCCTACGCCAGCTCACAGGGGGGGTACCAGCCCGAGTATGGCCAGCAAGGGGGCTACAACCAAGGAGGCGACTACAGTCAGGGAGGGTACGGCCAGCCCGTGGCGCCCACCTCCTTCTCCAACCAGATGTGAGCGGAGAGCAGTGGGCTGGTGAGTGAGTCTCGTTAACACTGCGCCCTGAACCTCGGGGGATACTGCGTGCTGAAGCTAAAGAGACAAAGGCACAGCCGCGTGTAAGATTGGTATGAGCACGTTTTTCTTAGAATTGCCAATTATTTTTGATGTACCCTGAAAAGTTTGGAAACATTCGCCAATTGTCTTTTTCACATTTTCTAAGAGCTTTTCCTCTCCCTCCACCCTCTCTTCCTCCTGCCTCTCCCCCTTCTCCTTCCTCTCCTCCCCCCCTCCTTCCCTCCTCTCTCTCTCCTCCCACTCTCTTCTCCCCCCTCTCTCCCTTCCCCTCCCTTCTCCCCTATCTCTCCCCCCCTCTCCTCCTCTCTCCCATCTCTCCTCTCTACTCTCCTCCCCTCTCTCTTTCCTCGTCTCCTCTCCCCTCTCTCTCTCCTCCCCCCTTCCACCCTCCTCTCTCTCTTCCCACCCCTCTCTTCCCACCCCTCTCTCTCCTCCCCTCTCTCTCTCCTCCTCTCTCTCTCCTCTTCTCTCTCCCCTGTCTCTCTGCAGAAGGAGGGTGTAGCTTGATAGCAGAAGGCTGTGTGTGAACTGAAGACCCCTCTGCGCTCCTGTCAGTCTGTCTGTCTGTTTGTCTGTCTGTGAGCAGAAAGAGGGGAGGAGGTTGGGTTGGAAAGGGGGGGGGGGGCATTAAGGCACAATATGGGGTGGGGGGGCGCTTAAAATCTCTCAATGTTCTATCCCTGTAACGTTCCTAAAGGTGATGAATTTCTATTTAACCGTAAAGGAAATGGGTGAACTACTACATAAATAAATGCATAACAGAACTTGAAAGCAACACAGAACCAAAACTGATCTAGTTTTAAAACAAAAAAACAACACAACAATAATAAACTTGAGAGAATGTAATTGTTTGTGATGTGTAAATATTAATATGAATACATATATATATGAATATATGTTATTGAATTATTCTACTTCAGTAATGCTAGGAGATTAGCTAGTGATTAAAATAAAGACTCAGCCCACATCGGTAGTTACACAGCTGCAAGGTACTATTCTGATGTGAATTTTATTTGATTTTATTGTATTGCTTTCTTAAGTTCTATAGTTTTCTGTCTCCTTCCTCCTGCTTTTCCACGTTTCTATAATTGTTTTTTTAAGGAACAATTTTTGAATCAATGTTTTTTAAGTCTTAAAACAGACGCGCAGAGTTTTAAGATGCTCGGAGTGGAGAGAGAGAGGGGGGCGGGGAGGAGGACAGGGGTGGGTGAAGGAGGTGAGGGGGGCGCGGGCTGGGAGCAGATCCTTCTAGATCCCCCTCGCCGTGGGGCTGGCCGGCCGCAGGGCAGGCTCCCCAACACTCCCAGCAGCCGGTTTCTTTCACAAAACAACCCGAACTGCTCCTGTGTCTGAGCCCTCTGACACACACACACACACACAACTGCACACAGAGAGGTTCTGGGTCTCTTTCCCTCATGCTGTCACACACCAACCGCAGTCAGCTCGAAAATACCCAACATCCCCTTCACACCCGAGTCTCACCTGGGGTACCGCCACTGCTACCAACTACCTGTGTTACACAGGCACCTGTGTTGTACTTCCATAGCCTATACATTACTGACTTAGAGACTTCTGGGGAAAAGCAGGTTGCTACTGCAAGTGGTGTTGGTGGCCCAGTAGGAGGAGCCCTTTGCTCTGCACCATTGTTTCCAAATCAGTGCGCCAGTATGGTGACCAGGGACGCTGTCCTGAAGGACGTAACGTCGTCTGGGTGAAGCTTTAAACTGAGGTCCTGACGACTTGGTGGTTGAAGATCCCTGTGGCCCTGTGTAGGAGGGGTGTTGACCTCAGTCTCCTGGCTTCCTCCCACTCTGAGTCTGAGCTCTCTGACCAATCTGGCCTCCCTCATGTTCCCCCAGTTCAAGTGGTGCAGTTGTTTCTTACTCTTCTCACTGATCTGTGGGGCTGCTGGTGCAGAATGGCCACTGTGTGTCTCCCAGATGGGGCTGCTGGTGCAGACTGGCTGCTGTGCGTCTCCCAGGTGGGGCTGCTGGTGCAGAATGGCCACTGTGTGCCTCCCAGGAGACTTGGACCTACAAAGACCCACACTCACATACACTTGAGCACACAAGGACAAAGACACACACTCAGAGGCACTCAGACACACAAAGACACACACTCAGAGGCACTCAGACACACACTCAGAGGCACTCAGACACACAAAGGCACATACTGTAGAACACATTGACAAAATGTCTTGATAGCAGCAGTCAGGTACATTAGTCCTTCAGGCGGTTGTTATGATGGTGTCTGATCTCACCCTGTGTTCCCATGGTGCTCTCCCACATGCAGTCTCAGACCACTCCTCCAGAGGGCAGTGTAGGGACAGGAGAGGCACCAGCTGAGCAAATTACACTTCACTGCTTTCCCATGCTAAAGGGAGGCGTACTTCTTATTGAATAAGCAGAGGAAAATAAAGCTACTTAATACGAATTATTAGTACAAACGTAAGAACAACATACATTTGCTGTCCTTCCTCTCTGCAGAAAAGTCGCCTGACTATTGCATCTCCATCACTATGACTAAGTTTAGGTTTGCAGGTGTTTTGCGGCTCACAGGAGTTTTGTTTCTGAGCTCCCTCTGGCGGCAGACTGGTGTAACTGCAGGCGCCCTATTCGGCTCCACGCTCCAGTGAGGCGGTACCCCGGCATTGGTTGTGGCCATGACTCCCCGGCACAGCGCCATCGACTCTCCTCCCCCAGAAATATAAGCACGGACTTCACAGGTCAACAAACATGCCGGATCTCTTGGGTTAGCTAGTTTCCTTTCTTTGATTCTGTTATTTCTGAATGCAGTTGAGCAGTCAAAGTACAGCTGTGTGGAAATGGGGATGTCTTATTGGGGAGCTCAGGTGCCCGGTTAAGCTGGGATGATCTGGACTAGCAGTCAGTCTGGAGCGAGACTAATTGCAGTCATCCGTGAGACTAGGGTTCCATATTATACTGGACATCCCAGATTTTCACTGCAGAAATAAGATGTCCCACATGAATCAGCATGGAGGACTTTAGTCCGGTCTGTGGCTGTGAGGTGTGACGCTGGCAGTCCTGGGCAGGACTGGTGTTGTGGACAGCTGTTCTGTCTAGTGGCCTGTGTAAGAACAGGGATCGCAGGTCCTGGTCCTGCTGGGCTGGTCAGTCTGCAGGCTTTCTGTCCAGCTGGGCTCTGCAAGTACTGCTGCTTTAAAGAGACCTGGAACACCTCCAGACACACTGACTGACCCTGCAGGACCAGGACTGGACATCACTGCAGACACACTGACTGACCCTGCAGGACCAGGACTGGACATCACTGCAGACACACTGACTGACCCTGCAGGACCAGGACTGGACATCACTGCAGAGACACTGACTGATCCTCCAGGACCAGGACTGGACACCACTGCAGACACACTGACTGATCCTCCAGGACCAGGACTGGACACCACTGCAGACACACTGACTGATCCTCTAGGACCAGGACTGGACACCACTGCAGACACACTGACTGACCCTGCAGGACCAGGACTGGACATCACTGCAGACACACTGACCGGCTCTGCAGGAACAGGACTGGACATCACTGCAGACACA